TCTGGAATTTTCAACACCCACAGGACAGACAGCTCCACCAGCTCCACCAGGACCACGAGTGTTCGTCACTGCTCCCTCCAGAGCCAGCGGCTCCCTTCCTCGGCCTCAGCACCACCCATCAGCCACCAAATTCTGTGTGGCTTCCCTCAGCTCACTGCCACTCTTCGGGGCGTGGCACCCTCCCAGCATTCACTGCCCCAGTCACGAATGAAAGCTTTAGGCCAGGCCACCAACTATCAGAGGACTGCCCGTTTCCAATCTGTGCTCTAGAATAATCTAGAATATGTCCCTTTGCCTAAAGGACAGGTGGCACCCCTATGCCTAGTTTCAAGGCCCTAGGCCCACAGGAAGCCTACCAGAGAAATATTTACCTACTGGCAAGATGTGGGAATCTCTGTTAACTGTGGGTAATTCACTGTGTAAATTCGGCCACAGAAACACAAATAACCCAGAAACGAGTTTCAGGCCCATCCCTCCCGCTCCCACCCAGGGCACCCCCACCTAGTAACGCTCATCTCCTCCAGCCCTTCCCCCGGCCCTCTCACCAGTTCCACACACCAGCCCACAGTCAGGGCCCGCTGAAGACTGTCAGCATCCAGCTTTTTCGGCTCCACCAGCGTCTGCAATGTTACCAGCACCATCAAACCCCGCTGGTACTTGCCTCCGATCGCATTGTACTCCAGGATCTAGGGGGCAAGGGCAGGGGTAGAGGCCATCAGGGACCACAGAGCAGCTTCCCTCTCCTCCAGGGAGCCTCCGGAATTGCTCCTCTCTTAGTTACTTCATCCCCAAAGTCCTGGAACGCAGCTAGAAGAGGGCCCCAGGCCCCAGGCTCTCTCTGCACTGTAGTCCTCAGCAAACATAATAGTGCAACATGAAAATCCACTCCAAGCCCAGGGCAGGGATTGAACCCGGAAACACTGTTGATGCTACGCGAGTGGCTGGTATGCTCAGGTCTGTCGTCCTTTGGTGCCGGCCCCATCCCTACCTCTTCCAGACTTCCCCTCACAACCCATCCCCCTTTCCCAGCCACTTCCTCCAATGGTATCTCCTGCTGGGACCCCTCATTTGCCTTCTGCTGCTCTGCTGACAACCAGACCTAATTCACTGGAATCGCCACACCTCCTCCTTTTCCTTGGTACCCCTCAGGCAAATGGGACAACATTTACAAAAAGAATTAGCTGACACTCCAAAAGAAGAAAAGAATTAGGCAACGTCAGTACCCCAGCAACAGTTCCTGTCCCAGAGCCGGGTTTCTGATGGCACACTAGCTTCACAGAGCCCCCGCCCCGCAAACCGACTGCCTTCATCCCTGGTCCCTGTGGAGGTAGGACCTTATGACTTCCTTTCTCAACAAAATCAAAGACTTACGAGGTTAAATAAAGGCCTTCACCTCCAGGGACCTTCGCCTACACAAGGCAGTTTGGATGGCCTGCTACAGCCACAAAGCAGGACAGATGGCCTCACAAAGTCTACCTGCCAGGGCACAGGCCCCTCCACAGCTGACCTGGAGTCAACTCAGGTAAAAGCCTGCCCCCACTCCTGTCAAAAGACCCCCAGAGCCACAGCTGGATCCCACACATGCAGAGTGACCAAAGGTGCACTCCCTCAAGCTGCAAATCCCTCACCTCCCGGAGCCGGGCTATAGCATCTCCCGTGTCTGGGCACTTCATGTCATCCTCAGTCAGCACCTTGACAATCTGGGAGAAGTGCTGGAGGAAATTCTGCTTTTCTTGCTCATAAACATCCAATTTGTGGTCTCCATTCATTCTGAGGGAGGAGTAAAGTGCTCTGAGGAGAAGAAGGACAAGTCAGAAACCTGATCAGGGGCTCCCCTCCCCAAGACCCCTCACTCCCACCACACTCACCGAGGCTCCTCTGTCCACGCTTGGCACCAGCAGCGGGCACTGTGCCAGGCCCCCAGAACTGAGCCCCTGTACACCAGGGAGGGCCGCCGTAGGGGACCCAGCCACCTCTCCAGGGGCACCCAGCAGGGGGCTGGCAGCAAGAAGACCCCCACAGATCTCAGCCAGCGGGACAGAGGCATCACGGGGAGGGTGGCATAGGGAGGAGGCACCGAGCACTGCAGGGGCAAGCACCAAAGGCAGATACAAGGTGGCAGCTCCCCAACTCACCCCCCAACTTTTGATTTCAGGGCCCTGGCCACGCCCTCTTCTGGACTGAGCTTGCTGCCATTTACAGAAAGAAGGAAACGCAGGGAACAAAAAGCATGGCTGGGTGACCGAGACTCAACTGATCACACTTAAGATGGCTAGGGCTTAATGGCTCCCAACTTGATCCTCCTCAACCGTTAACTCCTCCTCCAGGGAGCCTCTGAAATTGCTCCTCTCTTGGCTACTTCTCCCAAGTTCTGGAGCACAGCTAGAAAAGGTCCAGAGCAAAGTACCTCAGGACTAGGGCCTGAGAGGACCCTGCATCACCCTATTTCAGAGGTGAACGGGAGGTTCTGGGAGGTGGGAAAATACATCGTTAGTGGCGGCGCCAAATCTAGAACCCAGGTCTTCCTGGTAGGCGGGAAGAGGGGTCCAGGCTGAGATGCCCCAGAAGAGAAGTGGAGCCAGAACCCCTGGGTGCTACGGCCATGTGGTCTGGGGTTCTGAGACTGGGCATCCCGAGCCCCACAGGCAGCGCTGGGACTGCGGACACAGCCTCGGAGCAACACCGGGCGAGTGAGGAGGCTTCGCAGCAGAAGAGCAACCCGGGCTCGGGCGTATTGGGGGTGCCAGGAAAACACACGACAGACCTCGGGAGTTTCCGCGTATCCGCAGGGTCAGCCAATCGGGCCCACAGACCTCCAAAACCGGGGAACTCCGACGTAACACCCCCGGCCTGTGCTTCCAAGTATCACTACAGAGGGAAGGCCGAGTCGCTACACTCTGCTTCCCCAAACCATCCCTCAACCTCTCACCTGCTCCTGGATGCCGGTTCTCAGTCCAACTGGTTGGCCGACTAATCCTAAAAGCCTTACCCGCACTCCGCTCGGCTCCCTGGGTCTAGTAGTTCTCGATCCTTTTTCACTGTAGGCAGAAATGCCTCGTTAGACTACAATTCCCGGCATGCTGCGCGAGGGACAGACAACGCGATCCGACGCAAGCTGGCTGGGCGGGACCAAGCCTCGCTGATAGGCTGCTTCTTCTCGTAAGAGCATGGCGCTGTAACGAACAACCAATAGAAGGGCTGCGCCCAAGGCAGAAAGCCTAGTAGGACCAGACGGGGCGGAGGTGGAGTCGGGCTGGAGTCAGTAGTGAGCGATGCAAAAGACGTCTGCTCTGGTTCATCTCCCCCTGTGCAGCTAGCTGAACGTTAGTACAACCTCAGTAGCACCAGTTTTGTCGCTTATTGGTTCTCAAGCAAATCATTTAACTTCTCTGGCCCCCAGTTAACTTCCTCAAAACTGGCTTTGCTCATCTGTTAAACTAGGATAATACCACGAGATAATGTATATAAAGTGCTTTAAGGGTTCAAGAAAAATAAGACTCAGGGCAGAAACTAGAAGCCTCACCCCTACACACACACACACACACACACACACACACACACACACACACACACACACACACACACACACAGTTTAACCCATCATGGCTTGACACCGTTGGCTCTTTCTCCATTAGCCCTCTCAAACTGCAGTAACTTGACCCATCTGGAAAGGCGCCTGAAACACCATACCACCAAGCACATAAATGGATTTCGTCATTATGAAACAAAAATCATTTTGCAAGGATACCCGATTTCACAGCTGCTATTTCAACATTGTACTGGAAATTCTAGTCAGAGCTATTAGACAAGAAAAAGAAATAAAACAGCCAAACTGGAAAAGAAGTAAAAATATCTGTACTTCACAAACAATATGATTGGATATATAGAAAGTCCACAAGAAAGCTACTAGAACTAATAAACTCAGCAAAGTTGCAGGGTACAAAAAGAACATGCAAAAATCGGTTGTGTTTCTACACACCTGCAGTGAACAATTTCAAAAAGGAAACGAAGAAAGCAATTTTATTTACAATAGTATCTAAAACAATAAAACACCGAAGAATAAAATTTAACCAAGGAGGTAAAAGACTTGTACACTGAAAAATAGAAAACACTGCTGAAAAAAAATTGAAGAAGACCTAAATAAATGGAAAACATCACACATGAAGATGCCAGTACCACCCAACACAATCTACAGATTCAACACAATCCCTATCAAAATTCCAACAGAATTTTTTGTGGAAATGAAAAAGCTGACCCTCAAATTCATGTGGAAGTGCAAGGGGTTATGCATAACTAAAATAACCTTGAAAACGAAGAACAAGAATGAAAGACTCATACTCCCCAAATTTGAAACTTAGTACAAAGCTTTAGTAATCAAAACATGTGGTTCTAGCATAAGGATAGACCTATCTACCAATGGCACAGAATTGAGAGTCCAGAAATAAACTCAAAATGGATTAAAACCTAAATACAAAAGCTAAAACCATAAAAGTCTTAGAAGAAAACATAGGGGTAAGTCTTCATACCTTGTGTTTGGCACGGGATTCTTAAGTATGACCCCAAAAGCATAAGGAACAAAAGAAAAAAACAGATAAATTGGACTTTATAAAAATTTTAAAACTTTTGTGCATCAAAGGACACTATTGAGGGCCGGCCAAGTGGCGCGATGGTTAAGAACTGGCTTGGGACGCCAGAGGGCCCCGGTTCGGATCCCACATATGAGGGCCAGTGACACTGCCCTGTACAGCTAAGATGCTGAACAACAGCTCAACCTGGAGCTGGGCTGCAGTGAGCTACATGAGTGGCTGGCAACCAGCGTGAGCGGCTGGTAGCCAGTGTGAGCTACTGGGAGCCACTGTGAGCGGCCGACCGATGACCGATTGCCTCACCCGGGAAGAGCACAATGATCATACCAACATGGGCCAGTGAAGCGACGTCATCCACAACTAGACTGAAGAACAAAACAGCAATTTGTCTACCTGTCTGTTCCCCTTCCCCGATTCCCCAACGCTGTTCCCCTCCCCCCAATCTCCCAATCAAATCTTTTTTTAAAAATTAAACATAATAAAAAATAATAAACAGTTCCTCCTTCCCGCCCCCGTCCCCATTTAATTGTTGATGAAACTGGGCCCTTGGCTTGTAGAGTTGCCTATATTCTAGATATGGCTGATTGTATCCTCAAGTTTTTGTTTCACTCTTTCCATTTCCCATCAACTTGTAGTTAGGGTGAAAGCTGCGTTAGAATCAGGATTCTTCCCAGGGGTGTACTTCCTTATATCAGGCCCGGTTGTCCCACTTTTAGTGTGCCAAACCTCATGGTTTTAGTAGCTATGGATGTGTGTTTTTAATTGAACTATACAGAAGAAAAAGACTGAAAGCCCATCTAATGAGGCCAGAGGCGGTAAGGTTGAGATGGTCAAACAGAAATTGCAACACAGGTGCAGGCAACAGCGTGTGCAAACACTTGGCACTGGGAGAGCAAGCAGGTGGTGTTCAGGGAGTGTAAGGGCTTGGCTTGGGCTGAGGAGTGCAGAAAGGGAGGACGTGTGGCTAGGGGAGTGATCTGGGTCAAGATTGGGAAGGTCTTTGTGTGCCCTGACAAGTCAGCAATGTCCTTAATGACGGCAGGCTGATCAGACCTGATACTTAGACAACTTTGACTGCAGTGGGAGGTTCCCCTACAGGGGGATGGAGACCCCAGGCAGGACAAGTCTGGGCAACTGATGAGCAGAGGCAGGCCACAGTAGGTGGCAGCGAGGACAGAGAGGAGATGTATCTGGAATCGGAAGGTTTTGTTGGCTGATGTTAGATGTGGGTGGTGAGAGGCCCACAGTTTCACCAAGATGCAGAGAAAGAAGGTGGAGCAGGGTGGGGTGAGGGTAAGGAAGCGAAAAGGAGTTGCCTTGCCTTAGTAGGAGGTGCAGGAGAGAGAAAGGGGGGCTGAACAGTAGAACAAGGTCCCCACCATGGGGGTGAGAGGTGGCCATTGGCCATGAGGGTCTGCAGCCCAGAAGAGAGGCTGGGGTGGCTGGACCCTGTTGAGTCTCACTGAGAGCTGGGCCCCCTCACCATCCCTTCATCATTCAAAGTTATTTACTGAGCACCTACGAGGCACTAGGAATATAGCCACTGACAAAACAGACAAGATTCCTGCCCTTCTGGGACTGACTTTCTAGGTGGAGTGGGAACACATTTAACAAGTCAAATATGAAAAGTCTGAGCCGGGAAGGAAAGCAAAGCATGGGGGAAGGTTGCAGTGTAACCAGTGTGGTCAGAGAGGGCTTCACTGCTCAGGTGATACCGGAGAAGAAATTAGAAGGAAGTAATAAGCAAGGCAGAGCGGAAGGTGTTCTACCTGTAAGGTAGAGGGGGGAACAGTGAACAAACCGCACGGCCCTCTCTGAGGCAGGAGTTTACCTGCCTTGTTTGAGAAGCAGTGAGGAAGTCAGTAGGAAGGGACAAGAAGCTATAAAAGGGACAAGGGGCAGAGGAGGAGGACTGGGAGGTAGCAGGGCCTTGTAAGGACTTTGGCTTTTTCTCCGAGTGTAATGGGAAACACCAGTGGGTGCTAAATGGAGTGCTGAGCTCCCCACGTCTCCCCCCTGCCTCCTCCTCCCCAACCCCTCTGAGGGTATGGCTGTTCTGCTTGTCCCCCGTCTCACCAGCATTGAGCCCCCAGCCCTGCCTCACGTGCAAGGCAGGAGCTGGGCAAAATGTGCTAGGCCTTCTCAAAACGCTCCAGGAGGAACCAAAGACCTGGGCCCATGGACACAGCAGCCAAAAGGTGGGAACAGCCCAAGGTGCCATTGACAGATGGGTGGATCAACAAAGTGTGGTCTGTACATACGATGGAATATTTATCATTCAGCCTTAAAAACGGGAGGAAATTCTGACACGTGCTACAACATGGATGAATCTTGAGGACATTATGGCTGAGTGAAAAAAACCAGTCACAGAAAGACAAATACTGATTCCACCTGTATGCGCTGCCTAGAGTAGACAAACTCTCGTAGAGACAAGAAGTTAAATAGAGGTTCCCAGGAGCTGGGGGTGGGGAGTGGGGGGTGGGGAGCTACTGTGTAAGGGGTATCGTTTCTGTTTGGGTTGATGAAAAAGTTTTGGAAACATAGGGGTGATGGTGCCCAACGTTGTGAATGTACTTGACTTGGACACCTAAAAATGGTAAAAATGGTAAATTTTGTCTTATGTATATTTTACCGCATTTTTTTGTTTTTTAAAGAAAGAGACCTGGGCCCAGGCTGGCCTGTGCCTCTAGCTCCTCTCTAGCTAGGTTCTCCCCTACCCCCACGCAAGTGAGGATCTCAAGGGGGTCCATTACAAAAGCTGTGAGCAAAATTGAGGCCTCTCTTCCTAAGCAAAGACAGGCAGACCTAAATGGGAAGAGACCGGAGTGTACAGGCCCGGCTGCCCTTTGCATTAAAAAGGGAAAGGTCGTACATCGTCTGTACCTGCATTGTCCGTTTCCGGGAGAACACACAGAGAATTCAGACGTCTGATGACTGCTGGGGGGACTGAGCCGCTGGGAAGTCGGGAAGGGAAAGCCCTTGGTCTGTATGTACCACGTGCCTCCGAACTGTGTCACTGTGCAAATATCTGTTGGAGCGTGACTGCATTCGGGACACATTCTATGGCATCTGTGCAAGTACAGGCGCAGGGCCCCACTGGCCACGTTCTGATTACTGGGGCGGGGACAGCAGTGGCTCGGAGCTCGCTGTGCCGCGCGCACCGCACGTCCGCTCGCGGTATCGCGCTGCGCCTCCCAAAGGCTGCTTATCTCGGTTTGCAGATGAGGAAGCTGACATCTCTCCACCCAGGCCTGGCTCGCACGCGTCGCCTCCCGCCTCCCGGGCCCAGAGCTCTCGCTTCGTCCTCCTGCCAGCGGCGGCTCTGGGCTCTCGGGCGCCGCTCGCAGGCGGCCAGCGGCCCTTTCCCAGGGGAGCGGGCGGGTGTTCGCAGGTTTGCAGAATAAAGCTGCTTTGGGCTGTGTGCGTGTGAGGGTCAGGTGTATCTGTAATTGTGTGCACCTGTTATATGAGCGTGTACTTGTGGCCTGTAGACTCCGTGTGTGGTAGGGTTAGGGTGTCGTGTGTGCATACGTGTGCCTGTGTCCCAGCACTGGGACTCTGTGTCACCCCCTCTGTGAAGCCACTCTGACCTCCTCTCACCTACCAGGCCCAGACCGCCCCCGTGCCCCTCTGTGTTCTGAACACAACTCCATCAGGCGCGAGGCTTTATTTATTGAGCCTTGAACCTAACTGCTAGCATTCCTGTCTCTCCCCTGTCTGGGCAGGGACCTGACCTTGGGGGCCTCACGCCTTCAGAGGCCACGTGGGCAGGGGGCATGTGGTGGGGGCTCGCTCCAGGCTGGTGTCTCTGTCTGTGTGTGTCTGAGGGCAGCAGCGTTTGCAGAGGTGGGGACAGACCTTACCTGAGAAGCTGGAGTCACCTGTGCTGTCTGTGGCCTGTTCTCAGGTTTTCTCACCCACAGGCCCCCCATTCAGAGCTGGACCCAGGGTCAGTCAGACTGCTTCTTCTCTTTAACCTAATATCAGGTCAACGCTTCTATCCCTCAGCTCGATAGGACAGGGGCCCCTTTGAGGCACCAAGTCCCCATTGGCCACTGGGGACTTGGGCCTCTGGGATTCTTGTCCTCTAGGCCGGTCCTGGACTCAGTTCACAATTGTCAGGCTGACCTTAAACACCCCATGTCCCTCTCCAGTCCCCAAGCCCAAGGCCTGAGTCCCCAGTCCCTGAAGTCTATCATGTCCCCTCTGGTTATAACTGTTGTCCATCTTTCCTCATTCTGCCTTCTGTGTACAAAGCCTAGGACCTCAAGCTCACCCCCCCTTGGGAAGTCCTTCCTGCTATCTAGCCTCTTGCTTTTCCAACCAGAGTCTGAGGCTTCTCCCATCTCTGCCACCGAAACCATCCTGAGAGGGAAAGAATGTACCTTACAGCTCAGATCTTGGAACCATGCTCTCCGGGCCCAAATCCCAGCTGCACTCAGACAGGCAGAGGTCCATCAGGAAACCGAGGGCTTTCTCAAGCTTGATAATTTGAGGAGTGTTTCATAACAGGGTTACCCCAGATGCGGTAACGGTGAGCTTAGTTACCACCCTCAAGAGCCCAGGGGATGGGGAGAGAATGGTTTCTCAGATCTGGAGGGAGAGGGACGCTGAGGGGAGCTGGGACCCACAGCAACCTTGCAGGGGTCAGGGACAGGTAAGTGCCCAGCCTCCCTCTCTTCCTCCATCTCCCCCTCCGTCAGTGCCCTTCTTCACTGGCCAAGCCCTACGGAAGCCATGGGGCAAGGCCTTCAGCCCCCTGGCCCCCGAGCAGAGTGGAGAAGGGTAGAGCAAAGGATCTGGAGTGCTTACTCTGCTCACCTCAGTTCCCTCGTCTGCAAAACAGGCTATTAACCCTCCGTCCCTTCTAGGTTGTCATGATGATAAAGGGAGGGGACGCACACGAGGCATTGGTGAACACAGCCCACTATGTGCCTACAGATTTTAGTGATTCATTGGCTTCTCAAACTTAGCTCAGGTACAACGGGAACCATGAACGTTTGCCCCCACAAACCTATTTCTTCCCCAGTCTGGGTGAGCGGCCCTACCACGTACCCAGCTGTGCAAGCCATGCTCCTCAGGCCATCCTTCAGGAGACGAAAGCCTCCATCTCCCTCTGCCCACACTGCTCCGTCTTTCCATCCCGTCTGCTCCTCAAAATTCATCTCGGATCTGTCCCCCTCTCTCCATCGCCACTGCTACTATGCCAGTCCATCAACTCCCACCTGGGTTACACCTAAAACCCCTCACGGGTCACCCTGCACCCACCGTTTATTCTCCACCCACCAGCCAGAGGGACCTAGAGCATCAGCCGGGGCATGTCACTCCCCTGGGTAAACCCAGTGCCCTCTAAGGCCCTGCTTAGGTCTCCAGTTTCCAGGGACCATGCCCCTCCACTCCAGACACATGGGCTCATTTCAGCTTTCCCTCTCCTCAGGGCCTTGGCATATGTTATTCTATTTCCAACCCCACAGAAAACGCCTCGCTCCAGGTTGTCCTTCTCACTGGTTCTTCTCATCCTTCCAATTCCAGCTTAAATGTGACCACATCAAAGAGGCCTTCCCTGACCACCTCATGGGAAAGACATTCCCCTCCCTCTTCCCCACTGGCTTCTCTGTTCCTGATCGACTCTGTTCTAGCACTTTCGCAGTTTGTACTCACAGACTGATTTGTTTGCTACTTATCGTAGTCAGTCTCCCCACCATGTTGTAAATTCCATGGAAGGACAAAGGCCCTGCCTGGTTTGCTCACCACTGTCTGCTCAGGCCCAGCACAGAGTATTTGTTCAATAAACACTGGAACGTGGTCAATGAGCACACGGCAGCCAAGCTTAGGGTGACGGTGATGCTATCAGAGCCCTTCCAGAGAACCCCATCACACTGTCACAGTGTTCCCCACCCCTGTCCTCAGGCTGCAGCCCCTACCCCAAAAGCCCGCCGCTTCCCAGAGCAGTCTGGGGCTAGCTTCAGGACAGGCGAAGTAAAAAGGGGCCATGTCACTGGCAAAAAAAAAATCTCTGTTCAGGTTGATGACCAGACAGTGTGAATGGATTGAACATTTATCAGGAAAAATGGACGAGAGAGGAGGAATGCCAGAAGACAAGGGAAAAGAGCCATTAAGTCTGGGGGAGGGACTCTGTGTGGGGACAGGGGCGGCCTACTGGGTGTGTCCCTTTTCTTCTCTCTGGCTCCCTTAGATAAGAGCAGCAGTTTTGTCCCCCTCTTTCCCATCTCTGCACAGTCCAGGCGGCCCCACTCCCGCACTTGAAAGCATGTCAGTCCAGAATGAGAACACACAACCCCAGCAGCTCTGGTCATGGGTCACTAAGTCCCAGTGGGATTTAGTAAAGTCCATCCTGATTGGGGCTCCAAGAGGTAAGGAGGGTCCCCAGAAGCCAGTGACGAGAGGGGGGAAGACGAGGGTGGAAATCAAGAGTGGAGGTGGAGGGTGCCGAAGATGCGTGTGTAGTGCTGGCTAGGCGGGGTTTGGGTGGGGGGCTCTGTGCCCATCAGGGTCTGCCCTGTGTTAAGTTACGGACTCTGGTCCGGGCCTCTTCTCCCAGCCCCCGGAGGCAGGGCAGAGGGGAGCCTGCTGATGGGAGTCACAGGCCACGCCCATGGTTCCTGGACTCTGAGCCCTGGTGCACGCGGCTTCCAGTGACAGAGGAGACACTGGTTGACATTTTAACTCGTAGGCAGAACTGGCCCCTGGCCAGCCGGGCCTCCTGCCTCTGACAGCCCGACAGCATGGAGCAGACCACCAGCGACAGGCGGGCGTGCGCTGGCATGGAGGGTACGCTGGAGTGGCTCCTCTGGGCTGGGTCAAGCTACAGGGACCCCCAGGTCCTGGAGTAGCACTGAAGGGGCTAAGGACACTCAGAAAAGGGGGTGGAGAAGCCAGCACCTGGAGGAAAGAAAACAGGGGCCTTAGGAAAGGGAACTGGCTGATTCTGGGCCTGGATCATGGGTCACTGTAGACTAGATATCGAGGGGGGCTGAGGCTGAGGGAGGCCAGCGGCTGAAGGGCGAGAAGTCAGGGGTCGTGAGGGATCAGATAACTGAACCGTCAAGGACTTGAACCTAGAGCTAGACCTGGATGTGAATCCCCTCTCTGTTACTTAGAAGCTATATGCACTGGGCAATTTATTTAACCTTTCTCGGCCTCAGTTTCCTTATCTGTAAAACGGGGCTTGTTATAGAAAATCTAACAATACCTGCTTCCTGGGATCCTCGTGGCCACATCAGATAAGGTATGCACCATGCCCAGCTCACAAGGACTCAACAAGGACTGGGGAGCTGAGGGACGGGGTAGAGGGCATGCGAGAGGAAAGGCAGGGAGGAGAGGCAGGCACCCACACAGCCCCTTCTCCTGCAGGCCCAGCAGGGTATCTGCGATGGGCCAGCGTGGCCCAGCTGAGACAGGATCTGGGCACCGCCTTTTTCCAGCAGCAGCAGCTGTCGGCTGCGATGGCAGACACCTTCCTGGAACACCTCTGCCTGCTGGACATCGACTCGGAGCCCGTGGCCGCTCGCAGCACCAGCATCATCGCCACCATCGGTAAGCACCCTCCGCGCCCCGCAGCCTCATGGAGCCTCTTAGGTGTTTCTCAGGGTGCTTCCTCATCTTTTGTCTCCTTTGAGACTTCTCTGTGTTTAACAGTCACTCATTCGGCAAATATTTGCTGAGCACTTGGTAGATAACGTTTTGAGCCCTGGGAGTAGATCAGTGAAATAGACAAAGATCCCTACTCTTGGGGAGCTGACATTCTAGCCGGGTGGGACAATAGATAATCAACACAATAAATTATTTGGTATGTTAGAAAGTGATAAGTATATGGGAAAAGAAGAACAACAGGGCATGATGAGGGGCGTCAGGGGTGCCCAGGCAGGAGGCAGGTTGCCGTCCTAAGGAGGGAGTCAGGGGAGCCAGACCTGAGCTAAGACTTCAAGGAGATGAAAGAATGAGCCATGCACAGGCCTGGGGAAGAGAATTCCAGGCAGAGGGAACAGTCAGCACAAAGGCCCAACATCAAGGAGGTTGGCATGGCTAGCAGCCATCAAAGGGGAGCGTAACAGGAATGAAGCGATGGGGGAGGGGAAGGTCATGTAGGGCATAGTTTTGAGTTTTCCTCCAAGTACGATGGGAGACCACTGTGCAGAGTTTTGCGGGGTTCGGTGGGGGGGGAATAACAGGCTCTTACTGCTGTTTTAATTGACCCACGCCGCCGGCAGCTGTATTGAAAATAGATTAGAGATGGGGGTGGGGACAAGGGCAGAAGCCGCTTCTGCAGTTTTTCTGGCTCAGACCAGGTGGTGGCAGTGCAGGTGGTGAGAAGTGATCGGACTCTGAATGTGTTTGGAAGGTGGAGCTGACAGGATTTATTTCCTGATGGATTGGATGTGGGGTGGGCTAAGGGTGAAAAGGAGTCGAGGTGTCACGCTGCCCATGGGCCAGCTAAGATGATTACTGAGAAGTGACCATTAGATTTACCTAAAACACAGATTCTCGGTAACCTTGACAAGAACAGATGCAGTGGAGAGATGGGGGCCCAAGCCTGATTGAGGTGGGTGCAAAGGAGGATGGGGCGTGGAGAGCTGGAGCCAGCAAGGACAGATAACTCTTACAACGAGTTTTGCTGCAAAGGAGAGCAAAGAAATAGGACTGGCGCTGGCGGGGGAGCTGGGATTAAGAGAATTTTTTTTATGACGAAAGACGCAACAGCAGGTTTCCATGCTGATAAGAATGATCTGATAAGAAGGAAGACATTGATCTTGGCAGCTGCTTTTGGTTGGGGGCTGTCCCACATCTAAGACAGAAAGATGGTGGCCGCAAAGAAGACGAAAAAGTTGCTGGAGTCGATCAACTCTAGGCTACAACTTGTTATGAAAAGTGGAAAATACGTGCTGGGGTACAAGCAGACTCTGAAAATGATCAGACAAGGCAAAGTGAAAATGGTCATCCTTGCCAACAACTGCCCAGCCTTGGGGAAATCTGAAATCGAATACTACGCTATGTTGGCCAAGACTGGTTGGTGTCCATCACTACAGTGGCAATAATATCGAATTCGACACAGCGTGTGGAAAATACTACAGACTGTGCACACTGGCTATCATTGATCCAGGTGACTCTGACTAACAGCATGCCAGAACAGACCGGTGAAGAGGAAATCATGCAAAATTTTTCTTTAATAAAACTGGCCAAATTCGGTTTAAAAGAAAAAGAAAAAAAAAAAGAAGAAGGAAGACATTGATGAGTGAGAACGGCTGAATCTAAGTCTCTGAGCGGATGAGCACAAGAACAAGAACTGGCTTTAGGGAGGGCCCACTGGCTTTGTCCCGAGCGCAGGGCTGGGGTAGAACTCAACTCTCCTCAGTCAATATGAGGCCCATCAGCTCTACAGCCTCGAACCCCAAATGCCCTACCGGCCCCCATCCCCTGATATACACCCTCATACGCTGGGGTTACCCCCACACAGCAGCGCTGACGACACTGCCCACGCCCCTTCAAGCCCCACGTCCCCGACAGTGCTGCCGGCCCTCCACAAGGAGGCAGGTATTGCCTGGAGAGTGGAACGGGGTTTCTGACCCGTGAGCAGGGGTTGCGTCAGAGAATAAAGGTCAGGTAACAGGACTTCTGTGGCGTGGGGCGTGTCCGAGGGTGGTGGCGTGTTTGCTTGTCTCTGAGGTTTGGGGGAGAAAGTTCTCTGAGCGGGATCTCTGGTTCCAGGGCCGGCATCTCGCTCTGTGGAGCGCCTCAAAGAGATGATCAAGGCTGGGATGAACATTGCGCGACTCAACTTTTCCCACGGCTCCCACGAGGTTCGGGGAGGGGCCGCGGGGTGCAGCGGGGCTAGAGGATGCGGGGTGCGGGGGGTGGGGGGTGTGGTCCTGGCCACCGTCCCCTGAAACCCCCACTCGGTTCCGTCCCCAGTACCACGCTGAGTCCATCGCCAACATCCGGGAGGCGGTGGAGAGCTTTGCAACTTCCCCAGTCAGCTACCGACCCGTGGCCATCGCTTTGGACACCAAAGGACCAGAGATTCGCACCGGGATCCTGCAGGGGGTGAGAGGCGGGAGCCCAGCTGGGGGCGGTAGGGCGCAGAGGCAGTTGCTCTGGGGGGGCGCTGTGTGTGGGGAGGGGCCGAACTCCAGCCTCATCGCATCGCTCCCCGCCCCCAGGGCCCAGAGTCGGAAGTGGAGCTAGTGAAGGGCTCGCAGGTGCTGGTGACCGTGGACCCGGCGTTCCGGACACGGGGAGACGCGAGCACCGTGTGGGTGGACTACCCCAACATCGTCCGGGTCGTGCCAGTGGGGGGCCACATCTACATTGACGACGGGCTCATCTCCCTAGCTGTCAAGAAAATCGGTGCGGACTCACCTTCCGCCCCGGCCGCGTGCAGAGCTGGGCTCACGCTCCCCTCCGGCTCCCACATTCGCCCCGTAGACCCACCATGCCTTCCCGGGGCGGGCGTCTTTCCCACCCATCCCAGCAACCCCCGGCATCCAGGCTCCTGCGCTCACCCTGGTTTGGGGCTGGGCTGGCGGGGTAGTCGCTTCTTCCACAGACACCCACGCGTGCCTATTCAGTGTGGAGCCCAGGCCAAGGGCTGAGGGCCGAGAGACGATCTCTTGAGGATCCAAGCCCATGTTCCCTCTGCCGTGACCCCGAGCCCGGCCTCACCCCTGACCTAGGCGGGCTCTTTCCACGCCCGCAGGCCCAGAAGGGCTGGAGACCGAGGTGGAGAACGGCGGCGTCCTGGGCAGTCGCAAGGGCGTGAACTTGCCGGGTGTCCAGGTGGACCTGCCCGGGCTGTCCGAGCAAGATGCCCGAGACCTGCGCTTCGGGGTGGAGCATGGCGTGGACATCGTCTTTGCCTCCTTTGTGCGGAAAGCCAGCGACGTTGTTGCAGTCCGGGCTGCTCTGGGGCCGGAAGGGCAATCCATCAAGATCATTAGCAAAATTGAGAACCACGAAGGCGTGAAGAAGTAAGTCTTGGCCTTTGTCCCCATCAGGCCCGTAACCAGCCCCATCACCTCTCCTCTTCTCCCATCTCCTCTCCCCGGAATCTCCTGGCTCTTCCCCAGCCCTGACTCCCCAACTGCCCAGGTTCGATGAAATCCTGGAGGTGAGTGACGGCATCATGGTGGCACGGGGTGACCTGGGTATCGAGATCCCTGCTGAGAAGGTTTTCCTGGCTCAGAAGATGATGATTGGACGCTGCAACTTGGCGGGCAAGCCAGTTGTCTGTGCCACACAGGTCTGGAGTGAGCCTGGGGAGAGCTGGGGCATTCTGTGGGTTTGGGGACACCTGAGGGTGAATACCTGCACCTTAGGTCTGTAGCACGTTTTGCTGTCCAGTGTTTGATCCTCAAACAGTGAAGTTCTGAAGAAATACTGTGACCCTCATTTTCAGATGAAGGGACTGAGCTGCCAGGATCACAGCCTTTGTGACTGTGGCCGGGGCTCTCAGGGCATTCTGAGAATGTGGATGTCAGAGAAGCAGTGGGGTCCCCAGTAGGAGTGTGACCCCTACAGCTCTGACACCCAGGTATCCCCAGATGCTGGAGAGCATGATTTCGAAGCCCCGGCCGACCCGGGCAGAAACGAGCGACGTGGCCAACGCCGTGCTGGACGGGGCCGACTGCATCATGCTGTCGGGGGAGACTGCCAAGGGCAGCTTTCCTGTGGAGGCTGTAATGATGCAGCACGCGGTAGGAGCTCAGAATGCAAGGCAGATGGGCCGGACCGCCAACCCCCTGCCAGCCCCAGGTGCCCCTGCCCAGCCTGACCGCCTGCTGCCTGCAGATTGCCCGGGAAGCAGAGGCCGCAGTGTACCACCGGCAGCTGTTTGAAGAACTGCGCCGGGCAGCACCCCTGAGTCGTGATCTTACCGAAGTCACTGCCATCGGCGCCGTAGAGGCCGCCTTTAAGTGCTGTGCTGCTGCCATCATCGTGCTGACCAAGACCGGCCGGTGAGGGAGACCCCAAGACGGGCCTTTGGATCAGGGGCAGGCTGGGATGGGCCACAGGCTCGGGTTTTGTCTTGTCAGAGATGAAGAGTATCTTTCTGGGGCCAGAGGAGGGGTGGCTATGGGACCTGGAGGCCAGGAGGGTGGGTCTTGGAGCACACCAGGGACTGTGCCCGTGAGCCCCAGGGGGTCGGAGGGAGAAGGTGGCATCACAGGGAACATTGGCTTCCAGCCCATTTGGGCTCCTAGGGCTCAGAGGCTGCTGAGGTGGCAGCAGGGCCCAGAAGGTTCGAGTTCAAGTCTTTGCTCTGAAATGACACCTTGGGTGTCACCCAGACTCTAAAGCTTCCTTCGTTTCCTCCCGGGGGTTGTGAGAATTAAGCAGGCATTTGTAAGTTAAGTACTATATAATGGTACCTTCTCAGAGGTTTTGTGTTTCTCAGAGAGGTTTTTCCTTCCTATCTCATTCGATGTATGTTTTATTATCTCCTATCTTCCTTGTGCGGTAAGAAGGGCAGGCATCCTTATGCCCACTTTACAGGTGAGGAAAACCAAGGCCCAGGGAAATATAGTGACCCTCCCAGCTTGGGGCACAAAGCTGGTTGGCGACCCCTGGAACCAGAACCCAGCTCTGGTTTCCTGGGTCAGCGCCCTTTCACTGTTCTGAGCTGACCTTCTCCACCTCCTTCAGCTCAGCCCAGCTTCTGTCTCGGTACCGACCTCGGGCCGTGGTCATTGCTGTCACCCGCTCTGCCCAGGCTGCCCGCCAGGCCCACCTATGCCGAGGAGTCTTCCCCTTGCTCTACCGTGATCCGCCGGTGGCCATTTGGGCAGACGATGTGGATCGCCGAGTCCAGTTTGGCATTGAAAGCGGTGAGCCACCTGGATGTCCTCCCCAGGATTTACATCATGAGTCCCCCAACCCCACTCCCCACACCCACCCAAAGGGCCTTGCCGCTCTCCTTGGGTCCCAGGTTTTCTCTATGGGGTTCGCTAAGACTCAGAGATGGTTTGGCCTCCATGGGACATACTGGGAGGAGGGCAGAGGGAGAGAGAGGTCAGGGCCACCCCTAAGAAGTCAGCCCGGCTGCTGCCTGCACCAGGTGGCTACAGTCTGGCGTGACATAAGGCGCAGGAGGCAAGAGGAGAAAGGGGACCCAGGACCCAGCCCCCCGCAGCTGGAACATAAATCTAGTTTAAAACTGGCTCTGATCATGCTTCACCTCTTCCTATCGGCATAGCAACACAGGTGGACAGACTTGCTGCTTAGCAACACACCCCGTGCCACCTGCCACCCACGCACACACCTGCAGTGGTCAGACTCCCTGTGGGCACACTGCAGTGTGTGCTTCAGGCTCCTTGTTCCCTACAGGGTGGCTTTGAGGAGGTAGAGGGTGGTGGCTGGCTCTCGTCCTAGGGCTGGCCGGGGTCCCTCGGTGGCCGACTGCCGTCTTCTTCCCCTCCCCCAGGAAAGCTCCGTGGCTTCCTCCGTGTCGGGGACTTGGTGATTGTGGTGACAGGCTGGCGACCTGGTTCTGGCTATACCAACATCATGCGGGTGCTAAGCATATCCTGAGATGCACCCCCACCCCAGCCAGCTCTGGACCAACCTCCCTCCTCCCCATGCCCTGTCTGCCTTGTCTACTCCGTCCTCCCTGCCCGAGGCCACATCTGCCACCTGCCCCATTCCAGAGTGCGCCTTCCCCTCGCCATTTCACGCAGGCCCTGAAAGTCTGTGTCCAGTTAAGCACTGGCCATCCGGCAGCACCGGTCATGCAATGCCTGCGCCCAGTGCTCTCAGCTGACGCTAAGATGCTCCGAGCCTTGAATCCCAGCTTACTGGTTAACTCTATTTCCCCAGGCCTCCCACAGCTGGGGGTGGGGAGAGGGGGTTAAGGCAGCCATGTCCAGTCTCCACAGAATGGCTATTTTAGAAATAGCTCACATCCATGAGTCTGATATTCTCATACGTGGCCCTCATGGTGATCCGGGCATCTCCCGGCGAAAGTGCCACCTGTTCCTTCATTGTAACGAAGTGACATCAAAGCACCGCCCTTCTGGGAAAGCCAGGGGAGATGCACTGGTGAGCTCACCTTACCGCTGTCTGCATGACCCCTCCCTGGCTGCTTGCAGGGCCTTGCTGGGTGAGACGCCCTGCTGCCTCCTGCACCCAGAAATCCCTTCACGCCCACTTTGTTCCCACACACAAACCAGGAGCCGAAACAAGTGTCTCTATTTTCTTTTAAAACCAGCTGTGTGGAAGGAATTATTAAACTTCTCCCATCCATCCAGAACCCCGGAACTCCCCACCCAGGGGGAAAGGAGCTACAGGGCCCCGGCCCCACGTTCCTGGATGCTGTAGAGTAAGCCTGGACACGAGGCATGGGGTAAGGGATTTCTCTTGTCCCTGAGAAGGCAGAGGTGCTGGCTAGCCTGCCCTTCCCCAGGCTCAGATATTTGGGGCCCTCCTCCTGCACCTACAGCAAACTCAGTAGGAAAA